TCCATGCCCTTTTTAAGCAAATTTTTTATTGGTACTGTTCAGTTTTTATCTTAATTCCATCTTATCCCAACAATGCAGTTTTCTCAAGTGAGTCAGTAAGGAACAGGGGTAGTTGTTTGGGTACATGTTGGTGTTTTCTGTCCCTGAGCCTGATTGGGGAGAATGTAAGGATTTAAAAAATGTACAACCATCCTAAGCACCTCAGAAGTCCCCCTGCAAATGGGCAAGTCTTTGCCCCAACTGTATCTGGACTATGAATTGAGACCTCAGGTCTTAATTACCCATGAAAGATGGCTGCATGAGCTTAAATTCTATTTCCTTCCTGAAAAATAGGTCACTTACTGTATGTCCTCAAATGGCTACAAGAGAGGAGCTCAAATGTTCTTAATCACAAAGAAATGATAATTTTTTGCAATGAGTTTGCTAACTACCCTGATTTGATCATCACACATTGTATACAAGTATTGAAATATAACTCTGTACCCCATAAATATGTACAATAAATACATTTCAATTAAAAAATAAATTTCTTTAAAAAAGTAAAAGTCACAATGCATTTTGAAATTTATGTAACATTTTCACTTCCATTACCTTTATTTTGCCATCACATTTTTTCATTATCACAAAATACTTTGGGACAGCTATGATTATCCTAGTTTTACAGTTTTGAGAGGTAGAGTGGTTGACTTGCAGAAGGTACCACAGCTGAGTTTCTAACTTTGAGCCAGAATGTGGGAGGCATATCCTCTTTCCATCATTGAACTCCAGATGGACCACAGTACATGCCCCAGAAGTCATATCTGAAATTTAATGCCTCAGCGTGTCTTGTTTAAAAACACATTATGCAAAAATATAACATTTGGGCTCCAGAGTAGTTTCTGAGCTGGTTTGCAAACTTGAAAACTCATTGGGATCACCCAGAAGATATTTTAAAATTAGCAGTGCCTGGGGACCACTTTCAACTGGTTAAATCAGAAGCTCTAGAGATGGGCTTCTGTAGTCTAACAAGCTCCGTAGGCGAATATAATGTGCAGCCAGGCTGAGAGCCACTGGGCCATGGCAGGCTCACTTCAGAGAGCTGTGAATGAGTGGTGGTCTCTGCAACTTTCTCCTGGTTGACTTGCTGCTGGAGACCCACTTTATCCTCTGGCCTATGTCCTGGTTAGTCAGCACTTGCCTGCCTCCTCATGATTACCAACTTCCAACCCCACCAATGGCTCAGCCCCTGGAATCTTTTCTAGTTCCCCAGGGGAATTTCCAAAATGTGTTGGTCTTGAGGTATAAGGTAGTGGAACTGAATTTTCCTCCTTGTTAATTTCTACCTGTGGGAACTGGCCCCACATCTGGAGGTGGCAGATGACGCTGAGTTGTGTTTCCTGTGACAGCTCTCCCATGTCTGCAGACAGCTGTGGGCAGAGAACCCTGGGAACTCATCTTCATGTGCTGGGAGGTGGAGGTGACAGCCTTAGGGTGTCTGTGCTACTATAGCAGCTGTCACATGTTCAGCAAGGAGGAAGGGTGGTGGAATCAAAGAAATGACGTGCTGGGAACACAATTTCTTCATATTTGGGCAAATAACTTGCATGTGTAAAGATATCTCTCTCTTTCTTTTTTTTTTTCCTTTTTGTCTTTTTTCGTGTCCGGCAATGGATCGCAACCCTCAGTGTCGCGCCCGTACCGGACCGGGACCGGCAAGGGATCGCAACCCTCAGCGTTGCCCCCGCTCCTCGCTCAGCCAGTGAGCGGCCAGTCTGCATGTGGGATCCGAACCCCTCGGCGGGAGCGCTGCCGCACTTCCCAAGCTGCGCACTGTAGCAGTGCGCCACCGGGCCGGCCCAAGGTAAACTATTTTTTTAAATGGCCTTCCCACGAATATGTAAGTTGCTGCTTCTGAAGATTTTAAATCATCTTTAAAACACATAGCTGGGCTGGTAGGTTAGCTCAGTTGGTTAGAGTGTTGGGTTGATAATACCAAGGTCAAGGGTTCAGATCCCTGTACTGGCCAGCTGTCCCCTTTGAACCCCCAAAAGACCCACAAAAAAACAAACAAACAAGAATACCTACTAAAGTTGTATTTAAGCCATGTAGGGAGGAAGCAGGAATAGCAAGTGAAGCTTAAAGCCAATTACAATCACATATAAATGCTATGTAAAAGCCTTTCCAATTTATAGTAAAAATTTTTCTTATTCCAAAAATTCCATGAAATTTTCATTCCAACTAATACAAATAATAACATTGAGATAGCAGTGTTGGCCATCTCTTTTATTACCTCTGCGTGTCCCTTTTTTGGAAGATGACAGTCAGCATGAACATAACAAATTTTTAAAAAATGTACTTTGGCTTTAAAGGCTTTACACTTATTTTTTTTTTTTCCCCAAATGACATTAAAATTGGTTTAGCTCCTTGGTGAAACCAAGCAATCACTGTAGTATTAAAACTCCATTAGGTCAAAGTCGTAAGATGAGGGTAATATACTGGAAAGCTACTTTGCAGAGTTGGTTTAAGGATAAGACGAACATATGAGAAGTATATTGAGTTCCTAAGAAGAAAAACCTCAAAACATGGTGCCTATCATTAAATGTTTTAAGTTCTTTATAAAAATAACATATTATTTCTCAAATTATAGAGCACTCTAACAGTGAAGGGGAAAAAAAGATGTTCTTTCCAAAACAAAAATATTTTTCCACTATTTCTGAACCTAAACTTTGAAATCATTCAGCAGTTTCTCTGACTTTAAGATTATTTAAGAGAAAGTGCTCATGGTACATTTTACAATTAGTACCAGACACAAGGTCTCTGTGGTGAGTCTTATCAAGTGTCAGATTCCCTAGTTAATTATTTTTAAGTAGAAAGACATTTCTATCAACTAAATTGAAAAGGTATTTTATGGGGAATCAATAATAGTTTCAGTAAGTAGGTAATTATAAATATTAGTAGTTGACTTTCCATAGTGGATTCTAGTCTGCAAAGTACTTCCATATATAATGTATCACTGAGTTTCACAGCTACTCAATGAAGTTGAGGTAACCAACTCTTTCAGAGGTGGAAACCAAGATGTAGAGAGGCTGGAACAGCTTGAAAGTATTAGAGCTAGCGTCTGACTCAGGCCATTTTACTTTAAATCCTCCACTAATGTAGAACTTGCTGTAACAGTTAAGGGTGTGGACTCTAAGACTGCCCATGTTTCAAATCCTGATTTTGTCACTTATGAAGCTTTGTGACTTTGGAAAAGTCATTCTACCTTGCTGAACTGCCATTTGTTTAAACAGAGATAATAAATGTTCTTATAATTCCTTGGGTTATTGAAAGGAGGAAAAGTGAAATGCATATAATTGCGTGAAATAGATTTTCACCGTTATGATCCTTGTTCCTTTGTTTTACTTTTCTTTCTGTGAAAGAAAAAGTAGGTGGGAAGAAAAACCATCTAAAAACTGACCACTTTGATTATCAGCCTGTAACAAGACATCAGATCTTCCTCTACGTCTTCCAACTTTGTCTTCGTCTAAGATGTAGGAGATGGAAACTATTCATATTCCTAGCAACAAAAGTTTCCAGATCTTCCTGGGCCCATTTCCAACCAGCTTGGGCTAGTTTGTGGGCACTAGGAGGATGAGGTGGTGACCTCCTTAGACTGGCAGAGTCACACTGAATGACATGAACATCTCACCTGAGAACATCTCTTATTGTTATTCCTTTTGGGTGGAATAAGGGCTTGGCTGAAGAGTGGGCAGATCTGTTCATGTGGTCATGTGCTCAGCTCAGAGCTTCTAACCTGCTTCTTGCAGGCCTGGGTTTTTATCAGGTCAGTTTGGACGGCCATGCCTGCATCTGTCCAGATGACAGGTGAATGATCCAGGCCTCAAGGGGGCTTGAATGTCATCGCTCTGGCTGAGCTTTTGCAATCATCTGACTCAGGGACATGGCACTGAGAAGCCCAACAACCCAGGAAAAAGAAAATAAAAACCAAACCAACCAACACCCACAGGGAGAAAATTCCCTCCTCCTTTGGATCCTAAAACCCAAACAGCTGCTACCTCCCAGGCTGAACCACTGACAAAAATATACAAGGGAGCTTTGGGGGAAAAACAATAACAATAAACCAATTAAGAAGAATCAGTGACCTGAAAGTCATGGCTAAACTTATTTGCTTTACTACTTCCATCATTAATATTTGGCTAAAACTCATTACTTTTTTTTTTTTTTTTTTTTCAAAATAAGGTCTAAAATGGAAAGCAACCCAAAAAGGCAGTTTCAAGCTTTGGGTAGATATGGGACTGAATATTGTTATCACAGCGGGTGGAGGTGGAAGGCAGTCCTGGGAAAGAAACATGGAGGTGCTTTGAGCTCATCCAGTTTTGTGAACAAAAACGCCTTGGGGTCACCCAGAGCCAGCCGAAGCAGGGCAATGAAACAGTCAGAGGTGCAGAGGTTTGTAAAGCAAGCCAAAGTTCTTTAGCACTTGCTTCCCAGTTCCTAAGGCAGTCCTGGGAAAGAAACATGGAGGTGCTTTGAGCTCATCCAGTTTTGTGAACAAAAATGCCTTGGGGTCACCCAGAGCCAGCCGAAGCGGGGCAATGAAACAGTCAGAGGTGCAGAGGTTTGTAAAGCAAGCCAAAGTTCTTTAGCACTTGCTTCCCAGTTCCTGAGCTAATGCTGCGGTCAGGGCCTGTGCTGCCTGCAATGTGTTCCCAGTTATCCACAGCGCGGGCTTGGAAGGGGCTGGGAGTGAAATTTCACTTGAGGGGACTGATTCACTCACTGACTGACTCCCTGAGGTGTTATGGCGGTCCCTGTCTGTCAGGGCCAATCTCAGGGACATCCTAACAGGATCCACCTCAGATCTTGAAGTACGCTGAGAAAGAGGGAGGTTGACAAGTCTGTTACCTGCTTGCCTCAAAATCCTCAAATGTTACTTTTTTGGGAAACTACTTCAGGACAACCAGAAGAGATGATTCAACTTGAGAGAGAGAGGGATAAACCTTTGGGTTCTAGAGACTTACCCGTACTACATAGTTAAATCTTCTTGAATCTAGAATAGCTGTTGAGAAGTCCAGTCTATTGAAAGCTTCCCCCAAAGTGCAGTATCCATGGCGCTGAATGTGAAAACAGAGGTGCAGAGGTTACTCCTGCCATGCAGAGGTCACTCTCTAGAATAATCCAACTGGACTCTACTGAACAAGCTTGTTGCCCGTCTTAGGTAACCTGGGGCCATTGGCTTCTTTCCTATGCCCATAAATCCTTATGAACCACCAAGATGGGGAACACAGCTGGCAACTGCCTAAGTCAGTGACTCATATGTTAAATGCCACTTTTTGTGACTTGTACCATCCGGGCCCTTGCTCTCTGCATACAATACTCTGGGGAAATCATAAGTAGTTGCTTATCAAGGAAAGCCTGGGAGCTGGATAGATGATGTGGGAGATCATGGTGGTTGGTGACTGTAACATACTCCTGGAGGAGAATCAGATTGATCTGCGACAACTGTCACCACCTCGCCTTGTATTGATAGTGCTTTTTTCTCATTGTGATCATCAAAAGCATTTTTAAAGTTTCGTTAGGAAGCACAGGAAGATTTGATCTTATACCTATGAAAGCACAAGGAATTGGAACGTGGAGCCCTGGCTCATAGTCCCAACTCTGCTCCAAGCTCCTGGGTGGTCTCGGGTGAATCACTGACCCTCTCTGGACCTCAAACCACAAAAGGAACTAGATGTTCTCTGAAGTTCCTGACAGTGATAGAAATTACATCTATCATTCCGCCTTGTATGCTAGTTATCTGAGCAAATGCCTGCGCAGAAAGAAAATGTACACAAAAAGGTTTTATAAAGTGCCATACAATTGTAGTCATTATAATGTCCCCTCCGACATCTGTCCCAG